GGTACAAATCCTGATGTGTTCAGTGACTTAAATGCGTGACCTGCATAGCAATAAATAGTTGAGTCTTCAAGTTTTAGTGAAGTAGCCATGGTATGAGGAATTATAATTACCTTTATCCTTACCAATATCAGCACTGGTGATTAAAACGATTAGATTCCCCTTCAATATCAAGAGTAAGATGGTCAAATCTGAATCAGTAGGGAAAAAACAAAGAAAAAAGAGAGAAAAAATAAACATAAATATCTTATTTCCATCATGTAGACACAAATTTCAGCCAGTTAATAAAATAATATTCTTCTACTTCATTTAATTATAGAGAAACCCATAAATGTGAAGGAAATTGAGCAATCCTAACCCCGGCATTAGGCAAGAAACCAAATCTCACATATTAAAGAAGCACACATGCGTAAGCCAAAAAAGTACTTACTTTCAAATCAGCCCGAGAAGTATAAATTTGCAATAGCATGGATCTTATAAGCCAAAAAATAAATGTTCCTTGAATTGCCCGTGCAAGGCTTAGACGACCGGATGAAGAACAAAACAAACCTGAAACATCGAGGGCATCACGAGTCTTCCCTCTGAATGCAACTAAAATCGGTGGAGCCAAACAAATCCTCTAAGAAGGAAAAAGTGAACAAAGAATAGACCAGATACAAATGACGCACAACAGGATAGCTGGAGGACGAAAATCTCACCTGGAAGGTGCACATGAAGATGACCCCTGACACAAAAAATCCACCATAATACCACGAACACCTGACAGATCAAGCGAAGTGAGGGACGCTAGCTGAAAGAATGAAATGGGCGGACAATAAAAAAGGGAAAGGTCACTTCCAAGATCCCCAGCCTTGTCCAGAATGTAAACGTCGTCGGGGGCAATCCTCACATGGTGGAACAGTTCACTGAGCAGGCCATGAACACAATATGGTGACAGACAATTAGCTCTGGGCAGAAAATATCACTTATAAATAGGAAATTAATCAATAATTAAACCAAAGGAAGAAAAAATCTGTATGGGAACTCACCAATGTGGTAGACTCCGATCAACGAACCCATCTTTATACAATCGTCTCATAATACTTCTTCCTCTGCGCTGATACCTATGAATCATCACCTCATCCAAAGAACAAAAGACAGGGAAATAAAAAACACAACCAAGCAAATGACATGACCACACAAACCGTTTACGAACCCACCGACATAAACACACGATTCCCCCAAAGATCAACAACAAAAATAACCAAAGAAGGACAAACGAAGATGCTGGGACAAAAAATGCATGAATATGATGACAAAAATTTCACCTGATGATGTTATGCACGTACAAATACCACACTGGGCAAACAATATATTTAAAATTTCACCTGGTGGTGCGAAACGGCAACACGAAAATCACCAAGAATTTGAAAATTATTGAAATCTCGCCAACCGACGCATCGACCTTCCCATTTAATCTATCCCGTGGACGCAAGACCGGCGTCCCCTTTCTCCGTCTTTTTTTGGGTTACAGAAGTTAGATTCAAAATAAAATATAAAATATTAGTTGCATGAGGAAAAAACAAAGGGATCACCAAAAATTATAATAATATTATTAATTATTAATACTACAGTATTCAAATCCCTTTCTCTAATATCATAATATTATATTATAATAATAACAGAACAATAGATGGAGAACTGGAACACGTAATGACCTTGGGCACGTTAATAAAGGCAATGGATGGAGCACTGTTCATTTATTGTAGACTTGGCCATCCCGCGTTAGTAAAGGTAACAGATTTGTTTGCATGTCAGACACAACTTTCATAAAATCACATCGCCTGGGATCGGGGACTAAGAAATAAAAGTAAAGTAAAATGTGGATCATAATTTTTTTATAAGGATAATAATTAACGTTAAAATAATCCTAAATTCACATCTCACTAGTGCAGCTGAATTTTTTAAGAAGGATATTATTACTATTAGCAAGTCAAATGTTTATTACCTTTAAACAAATTTTTCTTTCGGAAAAAAAAGAGACCCTCGTGTTATTGATATTACAATAGTATTTTTCCTTGCATGGAAATTAAAACTCTTAATATTTTGAACAGTTTACTATTATCAATATAAACATCTTTAGCATCAATATATTAAGATAAAATAAAATAAAATAAATTATAAAAAATTGTGCTATCCATAAATTGTGAATATTAAACACATTTTTCTAGTTATGCAGAATGCAATGAAGCCCATCTAATTTTATAATATTTTTCTCTCTCTTTTTTTTCTACTTTTTAATTTTGTAAATTAAAGCCTAAAAGTTATTATTGATAACTTTTTTTTATATGAAATGGTCAGTTATCATTTATGTAATCCAATGGAGGATGGGATAAGAAAAAAGCAATGGCCCAGAAAAATTTGGCCTTTTGGATTTAACAAATAGTTAAGTGTCCTTTGTGTTAGGCAGTGTGTAACTATCTAGGATCATACTAGAGATTTGGATCATAAAGCAACACTCACAAAGTACAAAGCAATTTTGTAAATTAGGCAAAATTTGGACTGTACATGCCGCTGATGTCAGGAGTAAGTAATGACATGCTGGCATGAAACATGTTCTTAATTTTTAATTTATTATTTTATTTTATATAAAGTTTCACTTTTGATTATAATAGTGACACGACAATAACAAGATATATGTGGCTCAAACAAGAAAAGAGCGGGATTACTTAGAAGTGATATAATAAAAGCACTGGAATAAAAAAAGTTGAGTTGTACACACTCCAAATAAAGTGTTAATTAAAAAAATACTCAAAATTTTCTTTTTCTTTAACACAATCAGTTTTCTTAACAAGAAAACCACTTACATGATTTCCCAACGACTCAAGGCTAATAACTTTTTGTGATATACATGAGTGCAAGTGATTTTTTTTAGCAAATCGTTCGGTGTTTGAAGCCAACAGTCCCAATTAATTTGAATTGAATGGGGTCGGGATATTTTTGTTAGGAAGTTTTATCACTAATACTATTACATTGTTATGACTCAGAATTTCTAGTTAGTATTTTTCACCTTACTTAATGCTTCCATTTTCTATTTTGTATAAAAAGAAGTCAAATTATTTATGATACCTTGGTGATACGGTTTGCTAAAATATATTAAATATATTGATCATGATATATTAATACAGTGATGTAATGATTTGTGACTATTGTTACTCAGGAGATTAGGATCACTACCGATATCTGTAGGCGCACATTATCTTGAATTTACAAAACAAAGTTTTTGTGCGGCGATATTTAAATCCCATAGTTGATTATAGAGGAGTACTATCCAAACAAGCTTGAGAAAAATATTTTAAGGTGCACGTCTAATTCTGCAAAAGACTCGAAAGGAAGTTAAAAGGATTAAATTAGAATAAACTAAAATTACAAGTCAAAATCTAAATATGAGATAAAATAAAAAAATAAATTAGAGAAAAAAAATTTTATGGAAGAAAATAAAAAGTCAGAATAAAGCTAACGGATAGATCAAGTTAGAACAATGTGAAGTTGAATGATGAAATAAAACTAAAGCATGGGACTTGATTCTGGGATAGCATGATTGCTGGTAGTTGTTTTTATTTTTGCGGCGATATAACAGATAAACAACACACATTCTTAGTGCTTGTCACACGAGAAAAATTGTGGAAATGAGTTAAGAACATGTTTTTGCTCGTTAAAATTATCCACTTATGTTATATTTTTATTACTTTTAAAAAAGTATTTAATTTTTGTACAAAATTGAAAAGGCTGTAATCTAGGCTTAGCAAAATTTGGAATCTAAAATAATTGAAAAAAGTGATAAAATATTGCAAAAAATTAAAAGAAATAAAATTACATTTCGTAATCAAATAAAATCTCGCTAGTTGTGCCAAAAAATTAAAATAAAATAAAATGAAATCCCACTAGGACACAAGGTGGCCTTTCACATGTCATTCTTTTCATATCAATTCAAAAGTCAGACTTGCATTTTACAGTAACCACCGAAAGTCATCGCCAGAAAATATAATTTATTATGTAGGTATCGGTAGCGGACCATTCAATATGGCCTATAAAATCTTTGACCAAAAACTCCTATGTCATAATGCGGAGTGAAAATGGCGGAACGGGCAGTTCAGTTATTAAAAAGAAATAAAATGAAATGAATTAAAAAATAAAAATAAAAATAAAATAATTAAAGAAAATAAATAAACATATTCATAAAAGAGAAGGGTAATTTAATTTATAAAGTTGAGAATCATAATTTATATAATTTTTAAAATATATAATAATTTTTACATTTATAATATATATTAATTAGTTTTATAGTGTTTATCATAAAAAAAATAATTTAATTTATTTTTATTCTAATTTTTTAAATTTATTCCACCTCATTACGTTCTAATAACATGACTTGAAATTTGAGTTTTACCATATAAAAAACATACTTTCAAAAGAATTACCGGTCACCTCTCACTTGAGGTTTGATAATACTGGAATAGAAATATTCAAAGATAATGTTAATTCAATAGGTAAATATGTGATTTATAAGGTGAATTTAAATTTTGTCCAGTAGATAATTTTTTTTTAATTCTAACACCACAGACTAACCATGCATGAAAAGGAACTAAAATCATATTAGAAAGTAAAATAAGCCGACGCCTTATAGGTGGGTTATGAAAGATCTTAATGTCAAAATTATCATGACAAGTACTATATGCAAGTTTATTGGCATCAAAACAGCTGATCCTGTGACGAGTGCCATGGTCCTCAGTACCAACAAAAGTTGCTTGGAGGCAATCCCAAACAACTAGTCAAAGAAATTTTTTAACTTTCCATGCGTGGACCATTTTCATATTTTCTTTCAAAGTTCAGAATTTGTATTGCCTCTTGCTTGTTCAGGATTTACAGGCAGATTTGATGAAAAAACTATGATCAATATAGCAAGCAGAGGATATCATCAATATCTGGATTAGGCGAATGTACTGTAGAAATATGCTTGATGATTTTCATGGGGGGATGTCAGGCCAAGTTGTTATAAATTATAAATGTTCATCGAGTCTTGATGCTTGTCCTAATCTTGATAAGAACTCAAGACTCAATTCATATGAACTCCTATACCCCAACTTCTAGAAATAGTAAAAATTAATAAATTATTCCGAACACAGCTTCCGATTCCACAAGGATATATATTCTCCAAGTCCATCATAGCTAAAAGGGTTTGTTGCAATTACAAGCTCATAGAACAATAATGAAGCGAGTGAGTAGAGAAGGCATTATGAGAATGGCAAGTGAGAGTAAGGCCAAAGGAAGGCTCCCATGGCGAAGAGTCGCTTCTGCTGAAGATCACCAGAGAGAGGAAGGCCATACTGTTGAAGCAAGCAATCGAGTCTCCATTCTGGCATTGTCTCGTAATCAGCTTTGGTGTACTTTGGATAGTGAAGAGGCATCTGAAACGGTCTTCCTGATTCACCACCATCACTTCCATCTCTTCTTCTCTGGTACGACTTCTGTGACGTGGCTTTTCTCTCTGACTCCATCCCACCTTCTCTTCCTAAACAGATTTCTTCGTTTCACTCACCAATTCTTGGTAGCGTTTGCCAAACAGCTCCCTTATTTATAGAGCAATTCTGAGGCAGGAGGCAGGACAATTCAGAATTCCTCTCAACCTTTTAAAGGATGTCAATGTCATTGTCAATTGTTTTTTAAAATTTAAATAATAGGTCATAGGTGTAGGATCTACTGACTGATTTTACAACTTGTGTAGTCTTAATTATGCTATATCTTTCTTTTTTCCCAAAAAGAAATTAATATCTGCATTTTTTTAAAAAAAATAAATCGACATAAATTGGAAAAAATGAAGGATGTAAATGTGGAAAGGAGGAACAGAAAGAAAGAGGAAAAGGACAATTTGTGGTGGGTATTGACTAATGATTGTGTAGCATTGATTTTTTTTTTTTGGGAAATTAGAAAGGCGTAACCCAAGCAAAGATCTTTTGAATTTATTATTTTAATCCCTCTTTTTGAATTGTTTAATGCATTTTTCAATTAGAACGATCTCCGTTAAACAAGCCAAAATTCCAACCGGCTTCTAAATTGAGCCTTGAACTCTAATGCTTAATCTTTGGTGTTGTAGCTGGATTTCATGAATTTGATAATCACAAATGCTTTTTGAGGAAATATTTAAAAGAAAATGTTGAGAATTTTGTCAAAAAAAAAATGTTAAGAAGAATAAGTTAAGATCCTTTATCATTGTCTAACTAAAATCAAAGAACAGTAATCTTTTAAAGACTGATCTGGAAGTAGAAATAATATTTTCTTTAAGAATCATTAATTAAATCTACTTACCTTTTTTTGATAAATAATCTATTTACCCTTTTCAATCAATCTAAGTTGACGTTTGTTGTCGTACAAAATCCATAAATAAACCTGTGCCTCAGGAAAAATAAATAAATTAGTAAGTGAATATATGACATTATAACCATCCAAACTTCGTGCAACGGATGAGAATCCCGCTGAAATTTGGAAACACCAATGGTAGTTGGGCGGCATCATTTCTTCTGGTTATAATCTCAACCCTCAGCAAGAACTATCATGAGCGTCATAGATATTTAGAGTCATATGACGGGTAGACTTTATAATAAGAAATTGATGGCACCATATAAATATTTCAATTATCATTCATTAACGTTTACAAAGACTGTGCAACTTGCCGTCACCAAAGTGTAATTTTCTCAATTTTTCTGAAGCCGATAGTTCCGGGATACGCAGAGAATCTTAGTCATTGGCTCATGAAGCATCTAGTGTATGGACACAACCCCAATTGATGCAACCATAAATCCAGGACTTAATTAATACAGCATAATACATTTAACAACCATCAACTAACTTTCCATGTTGTACTCACCTAACAGCAAGTGCTTTCAGAACCCATAAATTTGTTTTCTGCCCGAACAGTAAAACCTCTTCAGTATAATCTCATATGGTTTCCAGACCACCGCCACTCATGGTATTTTCCTCGGACAAGGTAATTCTCTACATTAAATTGAGGTAAAGAATTCCTAACTTGCATCCGCTGATTCAGCCCCACTAGCTTCTGTCTATTTAATGTGACCACAAACATGGTCACGTTGACACAGTTAATTCACTACTTCATGACCACAAAGTCACTCCTTCGAAGTGGGGCACGGCCTGCAATTTCTAACTTAATCAGAATGCATTCAATATGTGCACAAAAAGGTTCTCATCCCAGTGTGAATAACTCCACCAATAAAATTAATTAGTGATGAAGAATTGTGTAGTGTGTGCAACGACCGACCACAAAGAAATACAGACCACATATGATGGCATGACTTTCTTGTGCCACAGGGATCAATATCAGCAAGAGATGTTGAAGACTCGCCAAATCCAATGACAAGATTCTATTTCCATCAAAACCACATTCTATACACTTCTGTTGAATCCAACTTTTTCTTCAATATCTCCCTTCGCTTTCAAAACATTAGGAATGTATATAAGTTATATAGGGAAGCCCAAGCACTTGTAAATCGGTAGGGACCGTAGGACTGGCAAAGAAAATTCTGCCATAGAACAGTTGACTCGGTGTAGGCTTTAAGGGCACGCTTGGGGTTAAAAGTCCCTGCAGAGCGATGAAGAAATATTGAAAACGATAACTTCCAATTGTATACTAACAAGCAAATCGACTTGAATGGGGGAAAACGCAAGGATGAGAAAATAGAATCGGTTCTTATTTGATGTTGATGCTACCACATAGTCTGGGCCAAATCTTACAAAACAAAGCACAAGTGACTTTTCAAGAAGTATTTCTTTTTCTAAAATTATGAAATGATAGAATTTTAAACTATCTTGACCATTACTTAATTTGTTTGGGTACATGCCTATTTCATCGTGTAAAACTTGCAATCAAGATTAAGTCCTCAGATTTTACGAAAGGAAGCAAACTGCACAATGTACGGACTTGATAGCAAAATTTACAAACACTAGTTATCAACACATATTTCTCAAAGTACAAAGAGAGTAAAAGGACTTGATAGCACCACAGGAGCGTAAAAGGACTTGCCTTGTAAAGCTAATTGAAGGTTCAGAGCCAACAGAAAGTGCAACATATAAAATTTTTTTTGGAAGGGGGGGGGGGGGAGGAATTTAACAACTACATCTTTGTGCTACATTTAGAATCAAACAGGACTTCAAAACTTTGCCCTATTATTAGAGCGAGTATGTAACATGTAAATATTCTAATACAAGTTTGCACACATATAATTAGATTTTTTTAAACAAATTTAATTAGCTATTACAAAGCAATGTTCATGCAGTTACCTATGAATATGTCTACTAATTTATCCAAAACTTCAAATAAATTGGCCTTTGGATTTAACAAATAGCTAAGTGTCTTTTATGTTAGGCAGTGTGTCAAGTCACTTTCTAAGATCATACCAGAGATTTGGATCACAACACTCGTAAAGTACAAAGCAATGCTGTAAATTAGGCAAAAACAGGACCGTACATGCTGCTGATGCCAGGAGTAAGTAATGACATGTTGGCGTAAAATATATTCTTAATTTTTAATTTATTATTTTATTTAAAGTTTCCCTTTTGATTAGAACAGTGACACGACAATAGCAAGAAATGCGTGGCTTAAACAAGAAAAAAGCGGGATTACTCAAAAGTGATACAATAAAAGTACTAGAATAAAAAAAGTTGAGTTGTATATGCCCAAAAAAAGTGTTAATTCAAAAAGATACTCAAAATTTTCTTTTCCTTTAACACAATCAATTTTCTTAACCAAAAAAAAAAAACCACTTAAATGATTCCCTGATGACTCAAAGCTAATAACTTTTTGTGATATTTATGAGTGTAAGTGATTTTTGTTTTTTTTTTTCAGTAACTCATTCAGTGTTTGAAGCCAACAGTTCCAATTAATCTGGATTGAATCGGGTCGGGGGGGGTTTTGTTACGAAGTTTTATCACTGACACTATTACGTTGTCAATATGTCTCAGAATTTCTAGTTAGTATTTTTCACCTTACTTAATGCTCCCATTTTCTTTTTATGTATAAAAAGAAGTCAAATTATTTATAATACCTTAACGATAGGGTTTGCTAAAATATGTTAAATATATTGATAATGATATATTAATACAGTGATGTATTGATTTGTGACTATTGTTACTCAGGAGATTAAGATCACTATCCATATCTGTAGGTGCACATTATCTTTAATTTACAAAACAAATCTTTTGTGCTGTGATATTTAAATCCCATAATTGATTTTGGAGGAGTACTATCCAAATAAGCTTGAGAAAAATATTTTAAATGCACGTCTAATTCTACAAAAGACTAGAAAGAAGGTTAAAAGGATTAAATTAGAATAAACTAAAATTACAAGTCAAAATGAAAATATGAGATAAAATTAAAAAAATTAGGGAAAAATAATTTATGGATGAAAATAAATTATTGTGTAGGTATTGGTAGTGAACCATTTAATATGGCCTGCAAAATCTTTGACAGAAAATCTATGTCATAATGTGGAGTGAAAACGTAAGAACTGAAAGTTGATTTTTATCATGTAAAAAACATAATTTTAGAAGAATCACCGATCACCTCTCACTTGGAGTTTGATAATACTGGAATTAGAAACATTCGAAGACAATTCAACTGGTAAATATGTGATTTCTAAGGTGAATTTAAATTTTGTCCAGCACATCTTTAATAGATAATTATTATTTTTTAAATTATAAGGCCATGGACTAACCATGCATAAAACGAACTAAAATTATATTAGACAATAAAATAAGCCTACACCTTACACATAGATTATGAAAGACTTTAGGTAGTGTTTGGTTGAAGGAGAGCTCCCTTCTCGTCCCACCTCTCCTCTCTCTTTCTCTCTTTCGCTTCTCTTTCTTCTAACCAAACAAAGCCTCACAAAATAAAGGAAAGGAATGCACAAATTATCATGACGTGTAGTATATGCAAGTTTATTAATACCAAAACAGCTGATTCTATGACGATTGCCATGGTCCTCAGTGCCAACAAAATTTGTTTGAAGGCAATACCAAACAACTCGTCAAAGATTTTTGTTTTTTAACTTTTTGAACCATTTTCATATTTTCTTTCAAAATTCAGAGTTTGTATTCCCTCTTGCTTATTCAAGCCTTATAGGCAGATTTGATGGAAACACTATCATCATTAGAAGGCTTCTAATCAATATTATTAGAATTAGATGGAATATTGAACTAGTCAAGACACTAATTTATAATTTAAAGGTTAAATCGGGGTCAAACCGTTTGTAATTAAATTGATATATAAATATTATATATTAAAAATTATAGAAAAAGTGATAAACTAAAGAAAACTTATTACTAATAAAGTAATAATCTCATCATACTTCAAACTTTAAAGTTATACATCCAAGTACACATTGATAATAGGAAAGTAGGAAGCATCCACATTCAAACTGAAATAGAAAGTGAAGAAGGAGATGCACATGTGAAGAAGGAAGCAAAAGTGGACTCAAAAGTTCAGAATCTCAATTCAAATATTTTGAAAGCAAAATCAAAATTAATTCTTTTAGTTTTTGAATTGGATTGGGCCACTCTAAATCAATGG